AGACCAAAAGGTCCTACTGTATTGCCAATTCTTTCATTTCCCACTTTTGCGTTGAAGTCGCCCATTACGTAGATGATGTCATCTGAGTTGCATTGTTTGTAAGCTTTGTCTAGATCTTCGTAGAAATCGTTATGGCTTCGTGTATTTTGGCAATTTCAATATCGTTTTCTGCATTTTTGAGTATTTCTAAGGATAGGAAATAGTGTTCGAGTGCTTTATCATAATTATCCTGCTTAAAAAACGATCTTGCTATGCACCTGTTAATAGCACTAATCAAAGTAGGATTTTCTGGATCAGTTTTTCTTTTAAACTTCAATGCTTCTGAATAATGTGACAAACTTTCATTATAATTGTTCTGACCTAGGTAAATGGCACCAATATTGATCAAAACATTGGCTAATTCATCTTCATATGTGGTATCACGTCTCAAAACTTTCAAGCATTTTTCATAACAAATTAGTGCATGCGTTTTATCGTGTTGTAATATGTAAGCATGGCCAAGCTGAGTGTAACATCTTACAGTATTTGAATCATTAGATGATAGTTTAAGAGCATTTCTTGAATGTATTGCAGCTTGTTCAAATTGTCCAAGTTTGAGATAAATCTGTCCCAATATTGTTTCTGAAGCTTCATCCTCAAATTTACTTGGTTTTGAAGAAACTATATTTAAAGCCTCTTGATATTTTTCCTCCAAACATTCAAAAAAATACTTTAATGCATCGTCATATCGATTATTCGACATATGAACCATGCCAATATTATTCATATATTCAATTATCAATGGATGATTAGGGGGATAGATATTTTTTATCATATCTAATGCATCAGTATATGATTTAATAGCTAAATCATCGTTATTTTGTAGTTTGTATATGTTGCCAATGTTCAGTAGCATACCAGCTTTCTCTGGATGATTGTCGGGTAATGTTGTTGAATAAATTTTATCTGCTTCCTGGAAATTCTTCATAGCATCATTATAACAATCTCGTTTCTCATAAATAAGCCCAATATTTTGTAAACAAATCTCTATATGTGGAATATTACTATTAGGTATGACCGTTTTATATACATTTAAAGCGCTAGTATAATTAATCAATGCTTCGTCAGGATTATCTGTGTGGAAATAAATATTAGCAATACTGACTAAAGTTCTAGCCATTTCAGATGACATATTGTGAACCTCGTCAATGTTAAACAAATTACCAGATGCAGACACCATCGACGACAATATTTCATGGTATTGATTGTGTGCACTTTGCAAATAATACAATGCTCTAGCATATTCACCTTTAAGAACATAAACCGTACCAAGACTATAACGACGTTGAGGTGTATCTTTTGTTAAAAGAAGATTCTCAAAATACTTCTCTTCTTTTTTGTATTCACCCATATCATATAGAAGTTCACCGAATACAATATTAATATCAAAGTCTTCCATTTCTTCAAGTTTAAAAAGTATATAATCGTTTAATACTTTATCCCCATCGTTTGATGCTGTCATAATTATAGTCCATTTCGATGGTTTTTGAGCGTAATCTTCTGTGATAGAATTAATCTCAAATATACTACCTAAATCAAACAATACTTCTAATTCATCTGGCATTTGACTTTCAGCAGCAATATCGGCTACAATTATTTTGTTTTCACTGACATTTATATTAATAATAAAGAGAACTGGTTCAGTTGTGTCTGTTGTTGACTGGTAGCATGTATCCCAGCCGGCGTATACTTTGGCTACATCAATAGATCGACTAGCCGATAGAAAACCATTTGTTGATATCAAATTTCCTTCATTCATTTTTAACTTCAGTATTTGATTTCGATCCAATCGTAGTCCACGATACAACATTACATCTGGCATGTCTAAGGAAATATGAAGTTGTCTGAATTCTTCGTATTTATTTTTTAAGTTTGAACATAAATCTTCGATATAATAACGTAATGTATATAATGCATCAATATCTTCAGTTCTCAATGCTTGATTAATTAATTTATAAACAAATGTGTCTTTGGTGTACCATTTAACAGCATCCAATGTTTGATATTGTGTTTCAAACTCTTCAATGTGTTTTAATTCCTGCACATTTCCCCGATAGTAATCATATCATTTTTCTATCATTTTTATTTTCCAATCATTTGTTCTGGGCATTTTCCACAAAATATCTTTTAATAACTGATACCATAAAAAACGAATTGAATCATTTGTTAAATTACGCATTGACTGTTGTTTCTGATTAAACAGTGTAAATGCAGCAAATTGTTTTCTAACATGATCTAATGTCTTTCTGATACTAGAGCACAACTCATATTGTGTATTAAAAATACCAATAATTTTAGAATATTGTTGATATGTGACTAATAATTCATAGATTTGTTTTTCAAGACAAAATATAAATATTGAATCAATCTGCTTTAGAGAATAAATTCTGTGAAAAATAGTAGTATTTGCTACTTCCACGCCAGAAATAACAAGAAAAAAGCTTTCTTGTGGATTTGTGTCAATAAAGTTGCTTAAACCGTCCAAATTAGAATGAAAAGTGACGTTAGCTTTGGTTTCCTGAAGCATTTGCTTGGTTTTACGTACATCTTCATCGTCCTGTAAACATATGTTTTTATCAAACCATAATAACGAAACGTTTACTTCATTGGATATGATTTTATTATCATGGAATTGTTGTTTATTGTTCAGTAGTGGAATATTGGTACCTAATGTCTTCAAAGACAATGAAGCACACATTTTTCTTGATTGAAAGCTACGATTGTGAAAGACATACAAATATTGTTATTGTATTGTTATTGTTTTTTAAAGAAAAACATTTTCAAAAAGCACTATGATGTGTTCTCTTTTAGAAAAAGTTGGTTCTTTGATCTTTTCTTTTATCAGAGGTGAAAATGGAAGTAAACTTTGTTGGTACTAGGTCATTTCGTTTCAAGACAAATCGTCTCCGCACTTTTCGTCTCACGGATGCTTCGTCTTGAACATTCCGTCTCATAGACAATTCGTTTCCGGACTTTTCTTCTCAGACAATTTGTCTCGGACAATTCGTTTGCGACAGTTCGAACAAATCGTTTCGGACAATTTGTTCCCGGAAACTTAGTTTCCGGACAATTTGTTTCATGGACAATTCGTCCCCTTCGATAAAAACAGACAAATCGTCTCTTATGGACTGTCTTTTAAGGACATTCGGAGAAACGTCGAGAGTGGCAGGACTGTGTAAAATGAATCCCAGTGTATAATCCAGTACATATTCATCATAAAACTAAGAAATGAATTACATTTAAAATAACAGAGCCATTATTCTCATTTTAAGGATTATCTGTCATTTTAAACTATAAAAAGTATATTTAGTTACGAAAAATAGTATATATCTATTTAGTAGTGAATATATAAAGTGTCCAAACAATAAAATTTTATAAATCAATAGAAATTATAGCATAATTTATTCGTAAATAACCCAAACACTCACGTTTAATAACTAGAATACTATTACAGTTAGAGAAATTATATCAAATCGAGCACCGATGAGAATAGAAACTTCTGGATGATTCAAAAATCAAAAAACCTCATTTTTCGGTATTTGAAGATACCTAACAGTTTTTTTGTGACATGAAAAGCCTTCAACTGCTTTTTAGGACATAGTTTAGCCATATTTTAGAAAAGAAAGTTTTTGACAAAAATGAATTTTATCTTTGATAAGAATATCAGACGTTTAAAAGATATTTTTATGATTAAAATAATAAAGAACAGAAAATGATCTAAGTTCTTTCGTCCGTTTACATTATAGATAAACAGTTAATGTTACTGTTACGAACAGACAATGCTACTCTTTCTTTCTTAAAAAACTTGTGTGTATGAAGTATTTCTTGTGGTTAACGTGATAGTGAAAGAATCACTTCTCTTTATGTGTAATACTTAGTTTCATTATACTAGATTTTTGGTTGTGTTAAAATCTTTCTCTATCCTTAATTTTGCTTTTACCACGAACAATGAACGATATTAAATCATTATCAAGTAGTAAAGGTATTCCAATGATTTACTATGATGGTTATATTTATACACTGTGCAGAATGACAGACGAAAAAATGATTTTTCAATGTGAAGATCGTGATTGTAAAGGTAGATGTCAAGTTGACCTATGTCTTGAGATGCTTATTAATAGCTTAGCACCTTTGATTTTCTATCTCAGTGTCATACAAATTTAAAAATGAATATATTTGTACAGCAACCAAGTAATCATTCTCATGTATCCGATCCAAATCGCTATCATACTGTTAAAATTAAAAATGATATCAAACAACGAGCTGATACTACAGATGAAAAAACAAGTATAACAATACACGATGCCATGCGTACATTTTCACTGAATGCTGTTAATCTATTACCAACTGACGAAACTTTAGCCAAAACAATAAGACGCCGTCGTCGACCATCGATACTCCTTGATCCAAGTAGTCGATTACCACAATCATTGAGGCTAACTGGTAGAGATGAAAGTTTTGCCTTATAAGAAGATGATTCAATGATTATCTTTACATGTGACTCCAGTTTAAATGTTCTTAGAGATTGTAAAGATTGGTTTGCTGATGAAACATTTAGTGTAAGTAAAGCACAACAAGTCATGTGAGATGACTGTTACAAATGATATCATAGAAGTAATACACAAAATTTAGCTGATTTATAATAAAACATAATGCCATTGGGATAATTTTGTATGCTATAATTACGTAATTCATTATAAGAAATTCACATTAATCACCTGGACTAGTTAATGAACGTTTTCATTCAAATTGAAAAAATACTAGCTCAATGAATTTAAGTGTAAACTAGTTCAAAGTATGAAATTACACTTAATTTTATGTACTATTTTATAATTCATTTGAAGTTTAAAGAACCATGAAACGTACACGGATTTTTGAACAGGTTTTCTAGAAATCTTTAGAGAAACATGGAGCTTTCTCATGTTTGCTATAGCTCATTTTTGTAGAGAATTAAATTCTGTACAAGATAGGGTACTTAAGTTCTAATAAGTAGCAGTTCAAAAAGTCGTTTCACTCAAAACAAGAATATTGTTTAATTTAAAAATTTCATGTTTTTAAATTTTTCTACTTTAACTTTAACTTGAAAAAGTTGAAAATTATTCCATTTTGTTTACTTTGAAAAGGAAAAAAATTTCTCCGTCTGACGTGGTCGGCAGGGGCACACGGACGCTTTCTTAAAAATATAGAGTTTCATTTCCTCCCTTGTCTTTTCGTTATTGAGATGTGTCCAGATAACTTTTATCAAATGTTTACATTCCATGGCTACAATCTATTTTTTCAACAGTTATTGGTTAACGATGATTTCGAACCCTATTCAACATTAACAGATGTTGAAAGTGGTACAATCAAATCGGTCAAATCAATGTTTCCTAATGTACTTCATAAAGGCATAACTATTTATTTATCTTTCTTAAAAGTAATTATGTTTCCTTTTTAGGTTGCTCATT